TCATGACCCGGGACGAAGCGGAGGTGTACAGGTTGAAGCTCATGAAAGAGCGCACTCAATTCGTCAAAGTTCACGACCGGGAATTGGCGCATACCTTTAACATGTGCGAGCATTGATCTGTAGGTTGCAATTCTTTCTTGTTTCTTCCTATGCCAGTGGCTTTTGTTATACTGGCTACGACACTATAACCTTGATCGTAAACGTATCAAATCGAAATAAACCGACCAGACCCGCCTGAATTCCACGTCTCCAACATCCGCACAATTTATGTTAACTTTATTTTCTTGTAGCCATGGGGCGGCCGAAGGCCGAATAGCCGGAAGCTGAAAAATTGCTTGAAGGGAAGCGACGAAGTATATAGCAACTTCGGATTTGCGTGTTAAACGGTTAAATGGTGTTTCATGTCGAGTCACGAGAAAGCCATCATCCAATCGGGATCTCAATGGCCCGACCAAGATTTCAATTTCCCCGGTCCCGTAGAGCTGTTTTCGTATGTGAGTGAATAACTCCTCTTTGGGCAGGTCGGAGCAGAATAGATCCAAGCAGTTTCAGGCGTCGAATAGAAAATTTAATAATCTCCCTTCTGTCTTAATTTGAACCGTGGGAACATCATCAATTGTACATCTTGCTACATCCATGACACAAATGCTCACACTTTGAACCTTAGATGGATGTCAATCTCGTTCTTGTGCTGATTCCTGGCTCCTGGCTTAAGGTGCGACACCGGCGTACCTAATTATTTTGTGCATGAAACTCTCTACCTGGCGTCTTTACACAAACAGCGGTCCATGCAAAGTCATGAAATATGGTATTGTTCTCAAGCCGAGGGTTTATAGTCAGCTATATACAGGTCTCTTGACAGTATTGCTACTGGTTATAAGTTCCTTTGATCAGATCGGCGGCCCTTTCTGCGATGATATACGCCGCAGCTTGTGTATGAGCGGCGGGGATGAACGGCTATGGAATCTTAGTAGCCGATGACGCAGATTTGTCGCCAACTTACCACGACTGAAAGATCGACAATTCGAAGCCCCCGCAATCCCTTTACGATCAAGTCTGGATCGACAACACCCCAAGTTGCACCTTTCGGTGACATACTGGCTGTCCCGACGGGATGGAAAACAGTCCCAGCATTGTCGCGAATGTGCTCATCCAGTTCGGCGTCAGTATCGGTGCTGTTGAACCCAAATGGCGAAATGACATAGCCTGCCCACGCCGGTGCGGCAGCAAAACGCACAGCGCTCCTGATAGCTTCGCGCATGAAGAAGATATCAACCTCGGATCCGAGAAGATTCGGGTTGATCAGAGGAGGTGCAAGCGGATCGCTGCTATTAAGAGTAACCGAACCACCTGTTCCTGAAGTTCAGACAGTTGTTCATGCATCGGAGGATGAGATACACCTACGAGAGGCAGGTGATACCACAGCAGTAGTCACACCGAGAAAGTTTCCAGTGGCCGGCAGGGAGCCAAGCAGCCCGTTAGAAATTATGAGTTCGTAGTGCGATGTCTCAGGCCCTGCAGCAGGATTGGGGAAACGTTCAAAGATCGAGGAATTATCAGGAACTCGCAACCACCCAATATGACTCAATGGATTATCGACGAGAGGGCCTGTTCGTGTGCTGTTCCACTCTGCGAGCTGCTCTGCTGCCAGGGTGGCATTGCGTTCCGCCGCTTCAAAGGTGTCCGTGGAGTTGACAAGGAATCCCATGAACAGAAGGGAATGATCGCTGAGGTTTTGCCCCACAGAAGGCAGATTGTGCACCGGTTGGATTCCGAGTGAGGTCAGAGTCGAGGAGTTCCCAATTCCGGAGTTGAGCAGGATTTGAGGTGACCCAATACTGCCGGCTGAGAGAATTATCTCGTTCTTTGCCGTCAAGGTGAACCGTTTGCCTAGAGCGATGTCAATGAGCTGATGAGCGGCGGACAAATCAACATCACCTTTGAGATCCTGTACAAACTCAACAGTGCGGAACGTGCCCGCGGTAGATTGCAATACGCGTGTTACGCGGGAATGTAACAGAATATGTAAATTGGGGCGACTAATAAATCGAGGAGCAAGATAGGATGTCGCCGAGCTGCTTCTAGACCCGTTCTTTATTGTCGCTTGCCCCCAGCCTAAGAAATCCCCTCAACGCTAAATTCGTCTCACTTGGTAAGATACGTACCGATACCAAGCTGATAACCTGAGTTCATGTCTTGGTTAAATGGGAATTCTTCCAGTTCGGTGGTCGTCTTAATGATCCGGGAGTCTACAGGGCTAGGAAATCCTGCAAGAGACACCGTGTTGATTCCGTCGAATCCGTGAACGGTAGGAGTAAATCGTCCGGTGGTGTTGTGGTGGTCTGAAGGGGCGCTAAAGCGTTCGTTCTGTGAAATTATTGCTGAGAATTTTCAGGATCTCAATACAATTCGCAAGCACCTTGCGCATATACGGCACCAGGCTGTCCCATGACCAACCGTTGTCCCCGGTGACATTTGCGAACCTGTCGAAATCTTCTTTCGACCCACGCGTATAGACCATATAATCTGATAATTGTATAGTCGGGAATGATTGGAGAAGGAACATTTCGCTCACTGACAGAACTGCTCCCTCCGAGCACAAAACCGCGAGGGTAGGGTATTGAACGGCCGTTCAGCCCAGTCTGAGGAGTTGTGGTGTAATTCCAGTCCTGGGCAGTGTTTGGCGTGGCGCGGGGGCCAAAAAATGGAACGATGATATTCAACACGTCGGCATTTCTGAATGAGAGTCAGCTTCCTGAGAAACAATACCGTGCCGCTGGACCTACGATCCGCCTGCTTCAAGCACCAGAACAGAGTGGTTTGGGTTTTCAGTTAGGCGATTAGCAATGACATTCCCCGCCGTCCCGGCTTGAAGACGTAAGAAACAGAGTGGTGTTGGTAATAAAGCTCGTACCTCCAACAACGATGAAATCGAACTTGAGGTTCAACTTGTTTAAATCTGCAACATTGTCGATGATGGCGCCTAAGCAAAGCGTAGTTCCTAGGATGGCAAATAGAAGGGAGCTGAACCAGGACATGGCGAGTTGCTGTAGACTCCTGCGCTTCAAATTGGAGTTTTTAAGCAGCTGATAGCTGAAATCCCGGCCATACCGGCGTCTACAAATCATCGCACTATTAGTTTGACGCCGACATTAGCCTCCGATGTTCTCGCTCACTGTCTGCCAATGATGTCCACCGGAATCTGAAGTGGTGTCGTCAGTCATTGGCAATCCACAAGTGCTGTCTGGGCGAATCACACGGAAACTAATTTTGGGAATGCCCGTTTTGTCCGGGAGCCGTATCAAGAAAGCATTGTCAGCCCCCTTGACTGCTAAATAATCCCCCGCTTCTTCCCGCCCCGACAATGATCCGCCCGCATTAGATGTTGGACTTGTGTCAGCTATCGACATAAATTGTCTCGAAACGCCATCTGGGAAAATGAACGTTAGAGAAATACTAAGGAGGGAACGGCAGGTCAATTATCATGCCAGGGCGGCCTACCGTAATTCAAATCAGCTGGCGCTTTGCATTCGGGGAAAAGACGACGAAAATGACCTAACCAGAATTAAACCAAGTCCCAAGGAAGTAGAATCAAAACTGCGGCGGAGAATCGCGAGCAGAACAAAAAAAACTGCAGTCCGAGGTAGGTAGGTATATTCCGACGCGGTCCCGTTGTCCGAGAGCCCGCGCATCCCGTCATAAAGAATAGAAGTGTGCACTTTCAGGTCGGTATGTGCGAGAAATCACTGTCGCTCCATTCAGTTACCTTGCTGCCAAGATAACACACTGATCTGATTCCCACTTTTTTGGACTCGTCCGGCGTCTTGAAATTGCACCATAGCCTCGCTGAGCTCGGTTCTGACTCTTTTGATACTGAAGGGAGATTTTCGTCAGCAGTGCTCAATATTCAGTTGCAATGAACCACTGACAGTTTCAAGATTGAAGCCATAGTAAGACCATAGTAAGACCACTGTTGAGAGTTTTGAACTCGGCACCGAGGGCCAGCTGTTCACGGGACAGCTTGTCATCACGAAGGAAACCCGCCATTTTGATAGCCAACCGCCCTGTTTCGAGGATCAAAGGATACATAGGCGAGCGCGAAAGACACTGAGAGGTAGAGGGAGAAGAGTCAAGACGAGAGTGAATGCACAGCATTCGCGGCCCGTGGGCTCCACAACAGTTTGCGATATGATGTGATGGCATAACAGTGTCACTTTTATCGTCAAACTACGGGCGGACCTCAAAACGCAGGCCTGTACAAAGGTTATTAACTCCAGAATTTATGTAGCCTTGGCTAACAAAAGAGAAAGAACCAAGTAGAGCAGCCTCCGACTCGGAGGTCGTCGTTCAATCATCAACAGCCAGCATCACTCACGCGCTTCTGACGGGTGATTACTGGAAATAATCAAGATCCAGGGTATACTTGTAGTCAATGTAGAGTTATTCAGGCCTGAGATAGCATCGTGACATTGTACGCCCCGCGAACAGAAATTCGAACCGTGGGAACGTTACGGCTTGGCTCTGATGGGAGTCGAGTGTTTGGGAGAGTTGGCGGGCGTTCCTCTGACTCCTCGAGCACTACACAGTGAGGAGATGAATGGAGTAAATGAGAGCTAAAAGGATGATCTTGAATGCGAATTTGGGCTGAAAAAGAGAGAGAGAGAGAGAGAAAACAGGATGAAAGATGGAAATGCTTCTGCTAAGTGAAACTGTTCTTTAGGAAATGCGACGCACATTTCCAAGACGATCTGCCATTGATCCACAGAGGCCTCGATGTATACACCGTACTACGCAGTATAAGGACACACCATCTGAGCACCTTCTTTCCCCTCCATATCTGCAGCATCTGTAAATTCGAGGACCACCAGCTTCATATATTTCTGGTTCACTCCCTCGTCAGTCTTGGAAGAATCTCGCTCGGGTGGGGTGTAAAAACATAATTCTTCGCGAAACGCAGAGCCACGAAGCCAATAGAATAGAAAAAATAAAACGATATGCCACGCCTCCGATGAGAGTTGAACTCACGTTTCCTCGAGAACTTTGATCACACCAGCTCATATTTTCCAGGCGATCTACCGTTGATCTACAAAGGCTTGATGCCTGCTTCCCTCTGTGCAGCCTATCATGCTATGCTACAGTTGCGAATGCACAAGCCAGGTACCTTACTATAGAGAAGGATTTCTCAGCCATTGTGGAACGGACACCGGGTCGAAGCTCAACGAAGTCAATCAATCAAAAGTGGTGAGAAACTCATCGAGAGAGGATTTCAGGTAGAGAAAAGAAGGGATGTAGAATAATACCATTTCAAAAAAAGAATCCTCCGTCGCATTGGAAGTGCCTCCGGTGAGAGTCGAACTCACGTTTCCTCAAGAAGTCTCTTAATTATGGCAACAGGGACTGGACAGCTTCGTTTTCCCGCATTTGCCGTGATGAAATCATGATCCGAGCCGTGGGATGGCCGTTTGGGGTGTCAGGACCCCAGAACTGAGGGATAAAAAGAGTTGTGGGAAGCGCACGTGCTTACATAAGCCATCCCGTTTGAGTAAGTGGTTCAATTTTGCTGGTGTGCGTGAGGGCATAAACTAGGACTGTATATTATTTTATACTGATTTGCATATGCTGCATCCAAAGATAGTTTTGATTCTAGATTCTCCAATGAGATCTTCTATCTAAACAAGGAAAAACATGGCTGGTATCTAGATTGAAGCTAACGACCGTGATCTTACACCCAGCGTGCCACAGCGAACAAAACAATTAAGGCATCAAACCGTCCTGTAAAAAATACGCTGTTCCATTTGGAAAATCTTTGCCTATAAATATGGCTGTTTCGAGACGGGACTTTTACAGGTCGGTCCTGCACCCAAATGGTACATTTTATTGTCCATTCATGGGATCTGGAAGGTAAATCAGTCAATTTCGGCCTCAAAAGAAGATTCCAAGAGTCAACAAATGCTCCAGAGACATTCCCTTATAGCCACAACAGGCGGTTGCGGTATGGGTATGGGTCTTAACTTCCCGTTGTGTAAATAGGGAATTTTCCTACAGTTACAGCCCCTATATTGGACACCGTAAACACAATACAGACATTCTGATGCCGTAAAAACAATGAAAGTCATTGGCATACGTCCCGCTAATTGCTACTTCTTCTGATTAGTGATGTTTGATCAAGCGCAAGGCATTCTGTCCCTGAAGTATCTAGTAATAATTTCACGAGCCATGCTTGAAACATCGAGAAAACAACAGGACTTCACATTTTCAGTGAAATGTTAGATTCGGAGGACAAGTTTGAATTCAACGGAACATTGATATCATAATATGGACGGATTGACTTGAAAGCGACCTTCTTGATCTGAATCAGTAAATAACCCAGGCCGGTGCAACTCTAAGTCAAAAGACTTTCTCACCCATGTCTTGAGCAGGGACCGACGGCGCAAACAGCCAACACATACATTGTGAAAGCAAAACACCCAAAAGCTCTTAACAATCAGGACGGCACTTTAAAACCGTTTTGAATCTGTGTTGCATCCACCCCCAAGTTCAGTGGTTGATTTGGGTTGAAGATCCTGAAGAATGACACTGGAATGAACTTTGAAGTGAAGTCTTGAGGATTTCTGTCAGACCTGACATTTTGGGAGAACATGTATTGTAGTAATGTGGGCTGACAATGTGAATCAAAAAAGGGCTAGCGTACCTTGGATAGATACATATGCTGTTCTTGGCGAGCACAGCAAGCAGTGGAGGTTGATTCAGAAGAGTGGCACTTAAATGTTGGGAGCATTGGTACAAATAAAAGCGGAATAATTACTGTTTCACTAACTTTCAACTCACTCAACAGGGATTTGAGGGACTACAAAACTATTTAAATGTCGTCAAGAATGTTGAAGGTCTTACTCCAAAGCCCAGGGATTTTGCGACCAGCCTCAGTTCAGAGTCTCGCTTGACTGAGTAATTACTTAGTTGACTAAACAGCAATCACTAGTTACTAAAAGCCGACTAAGGGGCCGGCCACATAGTGATCGCTAGTGGAATTCAGCTTCTTTGCCGTTGTGCACACGTCTGGCCTAGGATTCTGGTGGCAACAGATGAGGTGATAGCACACATAGATATATGGACTTGCCCCAAGTGTTTCCATCCCCACAGGTAGTACAACAAACTATCTCTGCAAAAATAGCGATCACTAGTTCAAAGCGTGGGAACACTAGTCAACTAAGTCAAATGACCGAATTGCTAACTAGCGATCAAGGACTAGTCGGCTAAGTCCTAGTCAGGCGAGAGTCTGCCTCAGTTAAACTTGAAGTTGATCTGCACTTAACAAAGTGAGAAAGTCAGGAAGATCTGAAAACTAAGAACACCGCATGAGATGAAGCGAGGCAAGTACAGGGCATCTTCATACCTTGGGATGAAAGCGGGTGGCGTGTGGGAGAAAGGCTCTACAGGACTACAAAACAAAACAACATGCTAACAACCTACATATATCTCGGAACATATTCAGAATTGCAAAAGAACTTGGCAGAATTTCTGTTCAATAACTGACAGATGGTAGTCTGGTGGACAGTCAGAGAAAAACATGGAGGTAACCGGAGACGAACAAAATCGAACTCAGTCTGCTGAGTCTGCACTCGGCAAAGGTGCATATATCTGAGTTGACTTAATTTGAACCGTTCTTTGCTGACGCTCCAGCATTTCTCGGGACTGAAGGGACTTTGAATTGGTCATAATTTGGTGAATTAGACTAGAATATCACCTGCATGGATACTTCAGACTTGAGTTACCAGCAGTAAAAATGTCTTTAGCAGAACTTTAAGATCAGCTGGAAAAATAATCATACTTTAACAAGAAATCAAATGAACTGAGCGGCTAGACAGAGATTTAGCCATACAAACCGCTTCCTGCCTGCAGCTGGCCCGATGATGGTTAGCGATCAACCCATTGTGGGTATTGAGCATGGGAGAGTGTCAGCCAGGAAACAGTATCAAAGTCAAGCCAGATGCACCCGAGATGGCCAAGGAACCAGAATAATCGGAAATTCAACACAAGCTTAGGGGGATTGATTGTATTGGTGGGTGTTGGGGGGGGGGGTTGTTACAATGAAGAGCACGGTAAAATAGTATCCACAATGACCCAAGTCAAACTAGATACACAGAAGTCAATAAATTTCTCTTTGACATACCTCTGTACTAGGAATTCGCTGAGGCGCAATGTGCTCACTCCGCAGACAGACCTATGTCATGAGCGCTGACATGTACCCGATCACTTCCCGATCTGGTCACTTTTTAACTTCCATATTTTTTGTGAATAATGGGTACCGCAGGGATGAGCGAGAGAAAGCGCGTTGTTTGAGCTCGGTTTTATCCTCGTACCTGCAGAATTAAGTGTTTTTAAAGGCATTCTTTCCAGCAAGGACTGTCAGCCACTGGGCTTACAATTTGTATGTGTTTACTGCATATTCGAGCCCTCTGCCAGTCAGGTGTTAGGGTAGAACTGCTTCGCTTCGCTCGCAATAATTCCAGTTGAATCAGCAGTTCAAACTTGGAATTATGGATCAATAGTATTGTGTAAGATCTAGTTGACAAAGCCACAGCTGCTGAATGAAACCGTCAATAGACAGGCAGAGTGAACTTACCTATTCTCAGTATCTTGAGGCAATGAGCAAACTAAGTCAAAGTTGAAGCTGAGTGGAGCAAGATGTGAGGTTTGAAGTTTGATATGAAGTCAGAGGTAGAAAGCAATAATCACAGACCAGAGTTCCTTGGTGGAGTGTCGTTCCAAGATCATTGCAGTTGTGTGTGTTGACGATGGCCTGATTCTAAGGTAAATCATACTAAGTTCAACAAAGTGTGCTACTTGGTACCAATTAGATTACCATCTAATGAACGAAAGTTGTTTCACCAAGAGTTTGAGTTAACAAAGGCAATACACCAACCATTCTTTGAGTTTGACAATTGTCCCGGGTCTGTGCAAAAGTTTGTGTGACACAAAAGTATCATGGGAGATACAGTAGAAAAAAAAGACTTCAACACAGAAACTACCCAGGTCAACTGGTGTACTCTAGTGATCTTTTATCTCATTAGATATGACTCAGAGCCAACAAACCCATCCTGTTTCTGATAAAACTTGGATGAAACATCATTTCCCTCTTCAAGACATCAAACCTATCAAGTTCGATTGAGTAGCATCCAAGTGCTTTGCTGTTCCACTTATCTCCACTCCTATCTTAGACTTCATTACTGCCAAGCTGTGACGGGTTTGCCCAAATCGTAGCAGTGAGTTGAATACTGACAGCTTACTTCACACAGCAAAGACGGTCTCAAGGCGGCAAACTACTTTGAATGAGCACCAACATCAAGGTCATTCGAACATTTCAAGGTACAAAATTCCTTTTAGGCCCGAAAAACAGTACTGACGCACACCAGCAAAATTGAACCACTTACTCAAACGGGATGGCTTATGTAAGCACGTGCGCTTCCCACAACTCTTTTTATCCCTCAGTTCTGGGGTCCTGACACCCCAAACGGCCATCCCACGGCTCGGATCATGATTGCATCACGGCAAATGCGGGAAAACGAAGCTGTCCGGTCCCTGTTGCCATACTTAATCGAGTCATATCAATTTTTTCGAGACGATCTACTGTTGAATCTACAGAGGCTTGCGTGTAACCCTCCCTGTCCACCAAGTTATACCACATACCGGAGTTTTCAGGTCAATGGATACATGACCGTTCAAAGCTGCCAATTGGATTGTTGGGTTGGGTTTGAACGGGACTTCTTGTAGCTTAGGAAGTGACCAATTGACAGACTTGATTCTGAACCATAGTGTGGTTGAAAAAATCTACCTTGTAAGTAGGAGGAGCTTTTATAAAGGAAAAGAACACGAGTTCCATGCCTCCGCTGGGATTCGAACCCAGGTCTTCTCGAGATAGAATACTGGTTTTTTCTCACAATTTCGAGGCGATCTACCGCTGATCCACAGAGGCGTGATTACAGAAGAAGGAATGAGGGTTAGGTTGGGGTTATGTGCTACTCTCCAGACTTGAATGCTTACGGGTTTTCAAGTCCAGGGCACAGGTTGTGCAGAAAACCCATAGCTGGGCGACGAGGCAAAATCAACCAACCGTGGAACAGGGGTGGAAAAAAGTCAAAACATACCATCTGGTAACCCACATCTCCTCGCGAAATAGTAGAATCTCCATGAAAAGTTCTGAGGCGATTTACCGTTGATCTACAGAGGCTTGACGTTGCATGCGTGGTAGCCATGACATGGTGAATGCAGAGTGCGAGAGATGAAAGACACGTTGAATGGAGGACCGAAAAATGAATTGAAGGGTAAAATGAAGCGGCAGGCGGCTGCGGAGAATGGAGTGGCTCAGGAGCATTGAATGAAGCCGGTCCGAAAGCTTCAGCATAAACCGCGCTAGGGTACGGAGCTTGTGAACTTGAACGTTGGTGGTGATGAACAGGAGCAAGAGATGGCCGCTCACGTGCACGGTACTTGGCGTCTGATTTCCCTGATTCCGATATGCACTCCACCTCCTCTTAGCTCTCTTCTTCCCCGACCACCATGTCCTCCAGTGTCTCCTCCAGTGTCCCCGACGCCCGCCCGCCTCGTCTCCGCCGCCGCCGCATGTCCGCGCCGCCACCCCGGGCCGCTCCGCCGCGCCTCCCGCCCTGCCGGCCGCTCCCGCTCTCCCTTGAAGCACTGGACCTCTCCCCGGCCTCCCCCACCCAAGCATTGGCCTCCTTGCGGTTTCTAGTGCTCTCCTACCTCGCCGACCTCGAACGCAGGCTCTGTCAGTTCGAATCCGCGGAATGGGCATCGACGGCGCTCGACATGCTGCACGCAATCCGCGCAGACGTGCGCTCCCACCTGCCTGACCTCGGTGCACACCTACCAGACATGGACGACCTCAAGTCGCGTTTCGACTTTGCTGCTCTCGATTTTGACTTTGACTTTGATTTTGCTGGTCTCGACTTCCTGCCGGACATGCCCCTGGGCATCGCGGAGCTCAAAGCACTCGTCGCGCGGCAATGGGCCGACCTCGACCTCACCCTCGACTTCTCCCGGCCGCTCTCCTACGTCCCCACCCTCGCCGCACGTCTCCGCCGCCTCCACGCCCACCTCCACGACAGCGACTTGATCGCCACCCCCAAGTTCGAGCAATTGTTCGACTTTGACTTTGACTTGAAGGCGAGGGCACCGGCGAGGCTGGCAGAGGTGCTCGAGGCGTTCCTGGCGGAGCTGCCGAGGCTGTCGTCGCTGCCGTCGTTGTCTTTACCGCCATCGCTGTCATCTTTATCACTCCCCTTCGAGGACGCAGATGACGAGGTCGCACGCGCACTGGCACGCTCGCAGCACGGCAGCACGTTGATTGGGTACGACGACCTGCCCGACGCGTGGCGGAACAACCCCTATGTGCTGCATGGCTATCGCTTCATTCCGCTGCGCCGGTGGGACAAGCTGGTCGCCAGTGTGGCGGGGATGCATAATGAGACGTGTGAGTGGTGATTTTCTGCCGCATTCATTTATTCATTCATATATTTCATTGCAACGTACTAATTTCCCACTCATACAGTAAACATCCACACGCACCTCGTCCCGCTCGTCCTCTGGGGCGCAGCCTATGCGGGCGCCGTCTGGCCGTACCCGACCGCTGCTATCTCTTCCTTACCCGAATGGGTATCCGCTCCTTTTTCATTATTAGCCGCTACTTTAGCGTGGATAGCAACTCCTTTGTCTTTATTAGCTGCACCTTTACTATGGCTGGCGACACCACTAGCGTGGACAGCAGCGTGGATAACATCGCTGCTCCCCGCGTGGCTCACGCACGACGCAGCGAGGTATACACCGTTTGGGGGTACGTGCTTCGTTTTCCTTCCTTCGCTCTGCTTCACTATGTATCCGAGCTGACTTGTTCTACGCACTTTGTTATATTCGCAACTCAACTCAACTCGTAACTCGTCCACCACAACACAGTCACCGCAACGACCCCACCCCTACACCACGCGGCGCTCCCGCCGGACGAGGCGCTCTTTGCGCTCTTTGCGCTCGCGTGCCTCGCGAGCAGCGCGCTGTGGCATACGATGGCTGGGTGTGCGCATCGCGGCACGATGGAGACGTGTGCGAGGGTGGATTATGTGGGGATTGGGTGGTGAGTGGGGTTTTGGTTTTGCTTTATGTTTGGTCTTCTCACATCGCTCACCCACCTTTCCTTCTTTTCTAGGCTCATCGCGACCTCGATCGCGACCGTCGTGCATCACGGGTACGCGTGTGCGGAGGCGGCGGTGGACGCGACGCCGCTGGGGCATGCGGTGCTGCATCCGGGCGCGGCGCTGCATTCGGCGGGGGCGCTGTTGCAGGAGGGGGCGAGGACAAGATGGGCGAAGTGTTCAGCGCGGCGGTCCGTTTGTGTATACCTAGTAGCCAGCTTGAATATAAGAGACCCTTTTCGAGCAAGTCAAATGAATATATAATTGTGCCGCCTCGCTCCGACTGGCTAATCACTAGAACAGTTGATATGATCAATTTGAAAAAGCTTAAATTCGTAAGTTCGCAGAGGGTTTCGGGTTTCGCACAACCATAGTCTCCCCGTCCCGAAGGTCGTCAGGGTAGATCAAACGGGTTAGCGGGTTCGGGTGTATGGTAGAGAAAAAGAAAGGGTTGGGTCAATGAACTCACCGAAAGAATAGAAGGGTATTGACCTATGGAGTGTGTTAGAATAGTCTGGGTTGAAGTAAGGGACATGCCGAGTGTAAGTTAGCAAGA